GGGGGTGCAGGCATGCCTCCCCATCCGCTCTCGCCCACCCCGCAGCGACGCTGCCGACCTGGTGGTGCAAGGCAAGGGGACGTTTGAGGAGCTGATGGTCTGTTCCCGGGAGATTGCAGCCAGCACTGCCCAGCTGGTGGCAGCTTCCAAGGTAGGAGCCCGTCGCCTCTGGAGGTGCCTGCATCACCCAGCACCTCCTCCCGCTGCTGCCTGCACTCCGCTCCGGGAGATGCTCCATCCCTGCGCAGGCAGCAGCCAGGCTGCTCCCCTGGATGTGGTTTGGGGTGACCCTGGGGCACCCTGTGATCACCCCAGACTGTGGGGCTAGTCTTCCGCTTGCCTGGCGGGGTGTAAGCAGACCCCTCCTCACTGCCCCGGCAGGTGAAGGCAGACAAAGACAGCGCCAACCTTTGCAAGCTCCAACAAGCCTCCCGGGGCGTCAACCAGGCCACGGCCGGCGTGGTGGCCTCCACCAAGGCTGGGAAGTCGCAGGTGGAGGAGAAAGGTAAGCGTGGGGCTGCAGGAGCACAGACATGCCCTGAAACCTCTGCTCTTCGTGCTCCATGTCTTCCTGTCGCTGTGCCCTACTGGTCCAGCTGCCCCTTGTTGCCTGCATATCCCGTGGTGGCAGACCCTGCCAGCGGCACGGGAGCTGCTGGGGGGTCCGAGCCGGGGAGCGGGGCTCGAGGCAGACCGGTGGTGTCTTTCTCCACAGACAGCATGGATTTCTCCAGCATGACGCTAACCCAGATCAAGCGTCAGGAGATGGACTCGCAGGTAGGAGGTTCCCCCGTGTTTTGGGAAACACGCCTGCTGGTGCCTCGTTTGGGCCAACAAGAGGCTGCCCAGGCTGGGGGAGAGGTAAGCCAGGCTGGGGGAGAGGTAGGGGGGTGCCCCCTGCCTGGCTGCCTGACCCCAGGCAGCACCAGCTCGCAGGGTGTGAAGACAGGAGATGGGTTTGCCTGGGAGCTGTGTGCAGTTGGTCCTTGAGCCTTCCCCAGTGCTGTCCCCATCGTGGCGTAACAGCCCATGACCTCCCCCTGCTCCTGCGTGCCCACCAAACCACCCATCTCCACCCAGCACAGGGCATCCCAGGAGAATTTCCCCGCCCTGGGTGCCCACACGGGTCGCTCTGCCTTCACCTGCCCGCCCAGGCAGCACCCACCTGAGCTCAGTCCCCTCCCTGGGACTGCTTGCCATCAGAGCACCCATGGGATGTACCTCAGTGGTCTTTGGGCTCAATATCGGGGCGATAACAGGTGTGAAAGGTGGGTGCCCAGACCGGTACGGCTCCGTGCCAGCTGGAGCACCCGGGTGCTGTGCCAGGGTGCAGGGTGGCCATGGCATGCATGACATCCTTCAGGTGCGGGTGCTGGAGCTGGAAAACCAGCTGCAGAAGGAGCGGCAGAAGCTGGGGGAGCTGCGCAAGAAGCACTACGAGCTGGCAGGAGTGGCGGAGGGCTGGGAGGAGGACGGTGAGTGCGTCCCAGTCCTGCTCCAGCCAGGAAGCTGCTCCAGGAAGGAGCAGGACAGGATGGGAAAACCCTGCCTGCAGTCCAGGCTGCGAACGGGCATGGGTTTTGCTCCAGCTGTCACAAGCGGAGCCCAGGGGTAGTTGGCAAAGCCATGGGGACCCTGACGTGTGCAGGAGTCTGCGGGACCCCCATCGCCCCTGGGCAGGATGCTCAGGTGCTACTGGGGCTCTGCTGCCCTGCAAAGCCCTGGGGTACCAGAGGGATGGGGCAAGGGGATGCTGGGGTCACCGCATTACTCCGTACCCCCTCACCCTCTATTCCCTGCTCCAGCTGCAGATCCACGGGAGATGCACGATAAAGCGGTGCAAAAGCCACCCCAAAGCACACGTCCTCTGCGTCCCATCCCCCCCTTCCCCCACCAAGAGCCTTTTCCAGTGCCGGAGTATCGAGAGCCGCCTTGGTGAGACCCAAGACCCAGGAACGAGGGGTCGCCGGCAGGACGCCCGCCGCAACCCGCCCGGAGTATCGAGAGCCGCCTTGGTGAGACCCCAGACCCAGGAACGAGGGGTCGCCGGCCGGACGCCCGCCGCAAACCGCACGTGTATTTATTAGAGCTGCTTGGGATTTGGGGGGGGTCCTCGGGGGGGGTCTTTAACCCTTTAGTTTTGTTTTTGCACAGATTTTCAGAACTCTTTGAGCAGGCTCTGGCTGAGCGAAAGCGGTCGGATTTTTTTCGCGTTTCACCGCTTCTCCAGCCTTACCCCGGTCCCTGGCTCGGTGCGATCATCCCCCCTCGCGAAGAGCCTGCCGCGGTGCCGAGGGCCCTGGGGGTGCCGCCAGGTCGGGAACCAGTTTTTAGGGTGCTGCTGGGCTTGGTGCTAGGTGTGCTCCCCCCTCAGGTGGGGGCACCGAGTGCCTTTGGCCGCTGCAGGGTAGCGGGGAGCGTTCGCGTGGGACAACCCGGTCAGTGACACCAGGGTGCCGGTGGCAGCACTGGGAGCAGCGGGAGGGATGCTGCCGTGAGCTCC